AATCTTGTCTACTATGGCATCAGTTTTTGAACATCCACATTCAGCATTGCGATTGCAAGAATAGACAACGGGTGAAACGAAATTAATATTATATAAAAAGAGAGAAAAGAAGAAAAGATAGCTGCAGACCATTGAATCGATTGAGATGAAATTCAGTAGCTGAATGATGAATATATTTTAGTCTTTTATATTTTTCATTTGTTTTTATTTGTCTTTTACCCGTGACAACTTCATGAGAATGATTCAATATTTAGAATTATTTTCTTTTTTTTCTTTCATCAATTAGTAATATGCTTTCTTATGCTGTCTCAAATAACTGTCAATATGAAATCGTTGCTTGTCGTATTTGAAAATATGACGACAACTCTCGGTATATATTTACCTTTTCTTGTTAAAATAAGAGGAATGAATATTTTTCAAAATGGCAAGCTAAATTTGATATGGAAAAAAACATAAGTATGCTATCGTTGAGTAAATATCGTGTTACAAAGATGAATCATCAGCTATTAGCAACTTCTACATTTTCAAATACTGATTTGATTTTTCAATTTTTTCTTAGTTATCGATTTGTTTCACGTTACGTTTAGGATTATTCATATTAAGATTTTCATTCTTCTTCGCAATTTAGCATGATCATCAGTAAGAATGTAAAGAAAAAACATTCGGATTAAATGAATTCATTGTTCAAAAACCAATTATTATTACAAGTTTAGAAAAAATAAAAAAAATTGCCTCATATGACATGTGAAATTTACCTTTGTTCATTCGAAACAGTCAGTTTTATCTAAAAAAAAGACAAAAGCATCTTGTTTCAGGTTATATCTCTCTTAACTGAGAAGTTTTAGACTCTTCATTTTGGGTGTTTTTTGCTATCTATATCAAAAGCTCAAAGTGATCAAAAGGTACTTTGAAACATAAAAATTCGTCGAGAAAGTTTCAAATGAGTTTTTATTTTTTTCCTACTGAGCCTTCCTTTTTCTACTTAAAATCAATCAATACGATTTTCTAATATCACTTATTAATATTAATCATTTAGTGGCAACGTAAATGTTAGAATATTGTTATTACATATAGGCATTAAAAAGTTGAAATATTATGAGTAACATCATCGACTATGAATGATTGCAATTTATACTTCATATATTACAAATTAATGAACTAACGACAGAACATCTTCAGATGTTTTCTTCCGATTTCAATGATCTTTTACGTATAGATTTTACATTGCGCTGTAATAAAAATCCCCATATGATTTGGATTCTGATTAGTATTAAACTAAGCTATGAAATTTTTTCTTTGTCTAATGTCTACAAATCTTTGATTTTCGAAAAACTCGTATTTGCAGGTTTTGATTTGCACTGTTGCGCATTTACGGTAAAATCCACCAGACTATCTTACAATAAAGATTTAGAAGTTCTGAATAAACTTTCTTCGATGTAGACTCTTTTACATGAGCAGTCCAGACAATGTGAATTTTTTTAGCAACTTGATATCTTAAGTAGAGTTTGTTTAAAACTTCTGAATTTTTTTTAATGAATATTATCTTAATTGGTTTCTCTATATGCACAAATTTGCAGATCTAAATTCGAAAATTCGAGTTTCTAGAAAAGAGAAAGATTAGAATTCTGATCACTTAATCAAATTTCAATGGAAACACAAGCCCTTCCAGGATTACAATTAGAGAACACTGTAATATCTGTAAACAAAACATCATTGAAATTAGACAAACACAGCTAAAGAAATTGCCTCGTAAGTCTCGTTTTTCGTTTGTTTATTACATGTTCAACATTTTCTTTCAATCGAATCTCAAATTTTGAAGAAATTCATGCGCAAATCAACGAGTGATGAGTAAGCACAGTTTGTAGTCAATACTTTGGAAAACAAAGTTGTAAGATCGAAAAGGTATTGAGAGAAATGACGTATAAATAGGACTTCTACTCTGATTCGTTTGTAGAAACCTGAACATTATTTTCGACAATTTACACCATGCTTTTTTATAAAATAATTTATAGGTATAGAACAGGTCTCAACTTAGTTTACTATCGTATAAGAAGCTTTCTGTTAGGAACAACTTCTAGAAACACATGCTTCAGACTGTAAATATTTCTCTTATGCTGCTCTCTAGAATTTTCATCCAAATGATTCTTTAAAAAAATGACAAGAATGTGTCGATACTGATAAGAAGCGTTTATTAACTATGTTGCATTTTTCATTTATTTGATTATAGCATGCATAGGTATTCTGGATTTATTGATTGGTTCAAGAGTTTATATATATGTTGCTGGTAAAACGTGCGTTTCTTAGTAGTCACAAGAAAGAAACGTGTTTTAATCTATCTAATGATAGTTATAAAATTTGTCTTTTGAGATAGATCTATTTCTTACCCAGAAAATCTGAAAAGTTGTGGCGCTATGATCAGCGATGACCTATGCGATGCAAACCGCAAAAAAACTTGCTGTTTATCGAAGTTATATATGGGTTCTTTTTTGATCCGTTTTGTATCAATCGATATCGGCTTCTAGGGATTCATCTATACTATCATCAAAAAACGAAATAGAAACTGTTCATGTTTTTAAAAGTAATGGATTGTTGCTGTTTTCTGAATAAGTTTTTATCGAGAACAGATAAAGAACTGCTGGTTTTCATCATTCGTAGAAGTGTTTGAGACATGAAACTTTGTTGAACCTGATCAATTTGAACTGAAATCAACCACACAAGGTTTCGTTGAAATTTTCAAGAACGGTTGAATAGGTACGTTTAAATTGTCCTCAGCAGTACTTTGTTCTTATTTCTAAAGAAGAGCTCACGCTCCATACATCTATGAAACGTTGACACTTTTAAACCATATCAGTTAGGAGTCATAAATTTGTCTCGAAGACCTAGAGTTTCGAGTAAAGGGTCTTGAATCATCTCAAAACAGGTCAAGATAGACTTAATGAGACACGTCTAATCATGAAATAATGTTGTTCTTTCAGTTTCAATTTAATCTTTAGTCAACCGAAGGAAACTATCAAAAATCGAACTGATGCCTCTGTTCAATTTGCAAAACATACATTTAAAAGCTTTGGTCTAATGATTTCACACTAGATTGGAACTAAAACAGATTGTTATCCTTCGAGGCAACCTGGTTCACTAACGATATCCTCACATTTTGTGAGATGATTCAAGAACAGTTACTTGAAACTTTAATTCTCTGAAAAACTATCGCAACTACTCAGCAATGCAAGTTATAAATCTTCTTGTGGTGCAGATCTGTAGACTGTGATTTCTTCTCTTTAGAAATAAGAAGCAAGTACGATTAAACAATATATAAATGTTTTCTAGAAAACTGTTCTTGAAACCTTCAGCAACAATTCATCTGATTGGTTTGATTTTAAATCGATCGAATCCAACATAATTTTATACTCCCAACATTTCTTCTACAAACAATAAAAATTGCAAGCTCGTTATCTAATTTCTATGAAAAGTCATTGAGAAAACCAAAACAGTCATTATTCTCATGGAAATCAAATAAGTTCATAAATAGTTTTTCAGCACCGATTTCTTTGTCAAGTAGTAGATGTTTATAACAAGAACCCCAATGAAATCGACCTGAAATAAAACAATACTAGAAAAAAAAAACCAGAAACATTCGTTCGTATCGTAAAAATAAGACAAATGTATCATTTTTTTTTGTTCCCTATTGATGGTCGTACAAACTCCCTAATAACATACTTTCCAAAAGGCAGCAACTCGATCGGAGAATAGAGAATAGAGTTTATTTTCAAAAACTGCTATTGATAGCTAATAGTAATCTTATAATCTTCTAATATTTCAGACTAAGCCGTATAATACGTAACTTACCTTCTGTACAATTCTAATAGAGAATGTACATAAATGATGGTCGATCAAAATCATAGAGAAGCCTTCTGACTCAGTAGCCATTAGTTCCAGTGATAGCTATCAGAAAACACATTTCTACAGTATCGATATATATTCGTGGTTCTCATGATTACTATATTAATAACAGAATATAATCTTCAGATGAAATCATGTAATCAGCTCATATAACATTAAACCGTACTAAACTATAGAAACATCGATTAACCGTCATAAGTATGAGAAAACTTGACATTTTTGGAAAATGAAATGATCTTTACTCTCAGTTAAATCGGTCAAAATTAAAGTTAAAACAATATTAATGAAACAGAGCCAATTATATTGTTCATTCAAACTCTTTCAACAAATGAATTTAATGAAATCTCTAAATATATCAACATAACTTAATTTCTTTTAAATAGACTTTATTATTTTGTCCTATGTTACCATGATATATTTCTATGTTTGGGCACTTAATTAGGAAGCGAATAAGCAAAAATAAACATATCATATAAATAGTTGTAGCTTTTATTCTGAGACCTTCGAATTGAAAACACAACTACAGTCGATTAAATACGTATAGCAATGATGAAAGTGACCAATAGAGTCATATTATACTTTGAAGTAAATTTATCAATAGAGAACTAGCACCATTGACTGGTGAACTAGTGCAATTATGATTGATCGGTCGTTTAGTAACATTTTTACCTATTGTTAATTCAATAAAATTATCATTGACTATTGATCGAAGCTAATCATGATAGACAGAAGTACGTGTATAAACACCAACATAGTCAGGATGAGCACAGCCTACTCCATAACTAGTGACACCAGCTAGTATCCACTGACGTTTATCGGGCTCAACGTGCATTAAAAGACCACCTGAATCACTTTGACATGTATCTAATAAAATTATATAGGTCAGAAAAAAAAACAGCATTCAATTGTAAGATAGTCTATAAATAAAGGCTCATGATGATTTGTTTACCTTTTCCACCACCTATCACAGCAGCACAAAATTGAAGCTATGGAACATTGATCATATCTTTGCACATTGTATGGTCTGCAGACATTACATTCACTGTCACTTGTTGAAGGTGCAAATCATTTGGTAACGATGTGTCTCCAGATGTCAAGTTATCCTATCCAATGGCTACTAATGCTGAGTTAGGAACGGGATAATCATCACGTATATTCGTTGAAACAACACGTGGTATACATAGTCGAGCAGTACCTCTGTCATATGAAATGTCCAATGGTTGATAAAATCGTAAAACAGCAATATCATTGGCATTTGAAACACTATTGTAGTTCGGATGTGCAAAAGCCCTAACAATAGAGCGTACTTGAGCAGTTGACGTTGATGACTGGTTCAATTTATCTATTCCGACAACTACTTTTGTATTTCTAATCATCTCGGAAGGACATATTACACAATGAGCAGCAGTAACGATATATAATGGTAAAATAATTGCACCATCACAAATATGGCTACCATATATTTGTAAAGATACAGCCCATCCCCAACTTGAGTCAACAGTTGATTCACCACCAACAATCTTGTCTACTATGACATCAGTTTTTGAACTTCCACATTCAGCATTGCAATTGCTAAGAATAGACAGTTGTCAAAACGTAATTAATATTATATGGAAAGAGTAAAGAAGAAAAGAAAGCTGCAGACCTTTAAATTGATTCAGCTCGAATTTAGTACCTTAATGATGAATATATTATAATCTTTGATATTTGTCATTTTTTTGTTATCTTTCTTGTACCTATGAAAAAATCGCGAGAGCAATCGAGATGTTACAATTATTTTCTTGTTTTCTTCTTTAGAAAATTAGTAATATATTTTCTTAAGCTATTTCAAATAACTGCCAATATGAAATCGTTTGCTGTTGTATTTTAATATATGAGGATAACTCTCGCTATATATTTACATTCGCTCTTAAAACTAAGATAAATAATATTTTTGTAGGATTAAATCTTCAATTTGATATTAAGAAAACATTTAGTTATGTTACCGATTAGTAAAAGTTGTATTACAAAAATCAATCATCGAATACTAGCAGCTTTTACATTACCAAAAATGGATTTGATTTGTAAATCTCTTATAGGTTTATTTATTTGTGTCATGTTATTTTTAAGATTAATCGAATTATAGTTTTCATTCTTTTTCACGATTAAGCAAGGTAATCAGTAAAAACGTGAAAAAAAAACAGTCGGATTGGATGGATTCATATTTCAAATATAAATTATTTATATAAGTTTACAAAAAAAATTGTCTCAAAAGATATGTAACATTTAGCGATTATCCATTGAGAATAGCCATTTTAATCTAAACAGATGGAAAAGTGCCTTATTGAAGGGTATTAGTCTTTTGTTGATCGAGAAGTTCTGGACTTTTCATTTTGGGGTTTTGTTGGTATTGATATTACAAGTCGAAAGTCATAAAACGTGATAAGCATTTCGAAAGAAAAGTTTTTCAAATAACTCCGAATGAGTGGTTACTCTTTTCTGTCGCGTGTTCTTATCTCGATTTGAAATCCATCAATGGGATTTTCTACTATCGCTTATTAACATTGATTATCCAAGTAAACATTTGAGTTGAATTGTTTTTGTGGATTTATATTGCATCCAAATGCAATAGAATATTGCGAACGATCGCATATTGTCTAAAAGATAATGTATACCACTCGAGAAAAGTGTGTTTCACTCGTTCTTTTTTGTATGATGTAATATTTTTTATCAAATTAATATTTGATCACACGATTGACATGAGTACTTTATTTTAATACAATAGATAGTCATTATTTGTTTTAGTTGACCGTTCTATATGCGTTTTGATGCTGTCAGCGAATTTTACAGTTAAGCCAGCACAGTAAACAGATGACAGGCTTCTGGTGTCTATCATTCATAGAAGAACTGTTGAAGGTATAAAACTATGTTAAACTTGAGGAGTTCGTATTCAGACCGATCAAATGGGTTTTTCGGAATATTTCGAGAACAGATTTCTAGAGAGCCGTTGAGTTATATTTGACAATACTTTTTTCTTGTTTATAGAGAAGAATTCACGTCCTAGTAGACCTATGACAGTTTCATATCAGTCTTACTGTTAAGAACTGTCCGAACAGTTCCTTTGATAGCCACTGGTCTAGATAGCAATTGTTTTTTTAATGATATTGCTTCCACTAGACATCTCATTTTAACCTCTCTATTAGAATGGTAACTGCTTTATTCTGGACTTAACTTGTGAACTGCACAAACGTGCTGGAATGAAGCTAACGAACACTTAATGCTACAACAGAAAGACAGTATTTTCAAAAAAAAAGTAACTAGTCACTAGAGTCAGTTCGAAATAGAGAACTGTTCTTCCGACACAGTTTATTTAAAAAAGAACTGTTCACTGGATCCGATTCTTCAAAAAGTATCAATATTTTGAACTGAGAGTTCTCGCAGTTTTACGCTACAAAGATCTATAGAATGCCGAAACTTTTAGACAGCATTGTTTAGTAGCCAGATAAACTTTGCGCAGAACCAAAATTTCGACTAACTCACTTTGAGTTAGCTCGAAAGAGCTCAAGATAAGATTAATGAGTCGATAATGCATTGACGAAGCATGTCTCTTGGCAGTGCTCATGTAGTCCAAAATCATTAAATAAAAGCTTTCAAAATGTGTTCTGCAAGCTAAATAGAAACAAAAGCTAGATCTTCGAAATGTGTGGTCTCCTGACTTCAGATCATATTGAAACTGAAAAAACATCATCAACCATTGAGTAAACATAGCTCATTAGCTCTATCTTGACTTGTTTTGAGATGATTTTAGATCAGATGTTCAAGATTCTGCTTCTTCGAAGCATTATTGTGACTACTGCACAATACAGTCTATAAATCTTGGCATTGCCTAAATCTGTCGACTGTGAGTTCTTCTGTAGGAATAAGAAGAAAGTACGATTAAACACAGTTCAAAAATTTTCTGGGAAATTGTTCTCCAAACCGTTATCAAAAATCGATCTGATTTGGTGATTGGAAAGTGATCAAATTTAACATAGTTTTATACTACTAGCATTTCCTCTATAACTGATAAAAACTGGAAGCTCGTTATTTCATTTCTATAAAAAGTTATTCAGAAAACCTAAACATCATTGCTATTTTGAGAATAATATAACTTTATGAATATTTTTTTCGTTGCACTTATTGTGTCAAGTAATAAATGTTTAGAATCAAAACCGCAGTAAAATCGACCTCAAACGAAACAACAATAGATACTATCAAAAATACTCAGTCGTACCGTAAGAAAAAATAATGTATTGTTTTTTTGTTGTCTATTAACAGTCATACGATCCTCCTCAAAATAAAAAAAAACCTTTTAAAAACAATAGCTCGATCGAAGAATAAAGTCCAGAATTCATATAAACAAAAGTTGGCATTGATGCAAAAATAATCTTATATAATCTCAATATTTTAGACTATGCCATATTATACTTTATTTGTCTATTCTACAATCATAGTAGAAGGTGAGAAACAAATAATAGCTGATCGAAATTACAGAGAAAGCTTGTGAATAATAATAAGCTTAATGAAATATTACCTATCACGAAATTTATTTCTATGCTTTCGACATCTATTTGCAATCCTCATAACTTCTGTGTTGATAAAAAATACAATATTCAGCTACAAATCATGTAATCAGCTCATATAGTGACAAAACCGTATTATACTGCAGAACCATCGATTAACCACGGTTTACTGGTCGTATTAGTGAAACTCACACAGCCTGGCCATTTCTTTGTAAAAGTGACGGCATGCAAATCGATCTTTCAAATAATATAATGACATAGGACATTTTTCATTAAAATCATCCTATTAATAGTGTTACGTGTCTTTTCTTTTTCTCGTTCATTATCAAATAATTACTTACTAATAATGTCTATGAAAAATTTTAAATAACTATAAATATTTATTATTATTTAAGACTTTGTATTTGAACACCTATATCCATTTAAAAAGCCCTACTAGTGAACTCATATTTTCTCTACCAAATATAGTTTTTATGAAGAATCAGCTCATTCAGACGAAATAAGTAAAACTCTTTTGAGTCAATATGATCCAATTCTTATTCAAATAGAAATTGGATATTAATGCTTATTATATATTTTATGTGTATACTAATGCTATTACAAGACTCGTTAGTTGAAACATGATATAAAGAATATCTGAAAATTATGAAGCTTTTCTCACCTAAACACTCTCATCATGGCGAGATTTCGTCAAATATAATCAGAATAAATATCTGTGGAATATTTGTGATATTGCTTTCATCCATGAATATATCATCGTATTGACCTTTCTTTGGAAAAAATATACTGATGTTGGACAAAATGAGTAGATTCCCATCGAATATGCCCGAACAATTATGAGGGCTTAGAACAAGAACATCAATAATCAGATCCAATAACTGAGCTCCATGCTTCTAAATGCCTGGCATAGTACAGAGTATTAAGATAGGAAATAGTGTCTCCTCCGAAGCACTCTGTC